GCAAATGGCTGCAATATAACAAAGAGTGAAAAATTGAAGGGGGTCTGAATACTTTCCGTACCCACTGTATATGTACATGTATATGTATGTGTATGTGGTTGTACATACACATATGTAGTTGTTTTTTGGTGTTTGGCTTAGTGTTATGTTAGAATCATTATTATACTCATACCTTTTGTTCTTTTAATATTTTGAATTGTTTTTAGCTTTTTTTTATTTTCTTTTCTTAAATGTGTATATATATATAGTGTTTTTAGAGTTTTAGCTTTTAGTTTTAATTACTTTTTCTTATTTGTAAGTCGATTTGGATAAAAGCGTCTGCTAATAAAACAAAGTAAGACAATAATAATGATAATAATAATTACAACAGATCTATTAATACATTTATTTTAACATTCACACATAGTGTTCAAATTAGGATCAATAATATTTTGAAATGTTTTAAAAGAAACATTTCAAATGATTTCATAATCCTTTTTTTTAGGATTACTGATAAACTAATGTAGTTTGATTTGTATTAGTTATCTATTTTAGTTTTAGTTACAGTTGTAGTAATGTTGTCATTTTATTAGTTTAGTTTTTTTATTATGTCTATATAGGTTTTTTATTAAGTTTTAGTTTTATTTAATTTGACTTATTTCAGTACTTCAACATACAAAATGGAAATGAAGTAATATATATATATATTGAATGTATTTATATACAGGTGCATCTCAATAAATTAGAATGTCATGGAAAAGTTCATTTCCCCTTATGGTAGAGTTTTAGCTTTTAGTTTTAATTACTTTTTCTTATTTGTAAGTCGCTTTGGATAAAAGCGTCTGCTAAATGACTAAAAGTAAAAGTAAAAGTAAAAGAAGTCTCTTCTGCTCAGCAAGGCTGCATTTATTTGTACAGTACATGCCTGATTTAAGAAGGGGGTCTCAAAAATGTCAAAAAAATATTATTTTACCAACTTATTAATATTAAGTTCAATTGTGCTTTGTTGGTATGTCTGCTAGAATGTTAAAAAATGTTCAGTGTTAAGTCAATATTTTTAAATTGTTGTTTTGTAATTTATTTTTTCGTTTTGCTATTTAATTTATGCAATGGTGAAAAGAATTGGCAAAATACATGGGGGAAAAAAACACGAAAAACCGTGTTCGGTATTTAGCCTTCAGCTTTCGGCCCAGTGTTTCATTTTGTTCGGCTTCGGTGAAGAATGTTCATTTTGGTGCATCCCTAATTCACGGGATGATGAACATACAGTCTTTGTGGTATGGCCCTATGTTAATGTTCCCATTGCATCAGCTATTGATGCTGCAGTGGAAGAGAGTGCATAGTGAATCCTGTGAGTTTGTACCGTCCATTCAGGACACTGTCTGAGCAATATTGTAGTCATCTCAGCCAGCCAGGTACTTCTTTCTCTCTTTTGTTTTTTGCCATTTTTGCCTTTACTGGGACTGGACATTACAGAGAAAGTAAAGGAAAATGAGCCTGGACTCAAACCTAGGTCACATGAAGCACAACTATGCTACATACACTTATTTTCCAGCGATATTGTTGACTTGATTGCACAGATACTATTTAAACTGAACTGAGCTGGATGATGACATCACTGAATTCAATGATGAACTGCCTTTAAATGAAAATTGAATGTTTACTATTGTCCTTTTGCATTATTGACACTATTTTCCTATGTAATACTGTAAAGTTGCTTTGACATCTGTATTGTTAAAAGCGCTATATAAATAAAGGTGACTTGACTTGACTTGGCATATGTGAGCACTGCCCACAAGGCTATCGGGTCCATTAGATGCTTCAAGTCACATATGCCACTGTAAAGGGGGTCGCACACTAGGTGAGCACCACAGCATCTGACCCTAAATTGTTGTTAATATATAATAACTTCACCCAGATTTTCTGTTGTGCATCTTTCAGCAAAACGCTTGTCTTTCTGTGGCTTGAATTAAGTCTATAGGCTTTATATAGAGTGCTATAATAATGTAAAATCATGCTTTCTCTTTCTGTTTGGTATGCTTTTTCAAACACCGAACTTCAAACTACCACTTTGTTCATTCTTGAAGAGAACTTTTGAGTGTTTGGTGTATAGACTGTCTGTTTTGATGTCAATTTTTCTTTTTATCAATTGAGAAATTACAAAATGAAAAGTAAAATTTCTTCCATTGTTTGCTAAAAACCTAAAAAACTACTACACTTCCAGAAGTTACAGCCTGAGAATCTGATCATTAGAGAAAAGATGGTAACACTTTATTATAGGGACCAATTCTCTGTATTAACTAGTTGCATATTAGCATGCCTATTATTAACATATTGGCTGTTTATTAGTATTTATAAAGCACATAATTCTGCATGACCATATTCTACATCCCTAATCCTAGCCAATACTTAAACTCAACAACTACATTACTAACTATTAATAAGCAGCAAATGAAGAGTTTATTGAGGCAAAAGTCGTAGTTAATGGTTTGTTAATAGCGAGAATTGGACCTTGAAATAAAGTGTGACCGAAAAAAAGAAAATAAATAAATAAAATCATGATAAAAACAAATAGGCCTATATCAAGACAAAAAAAAAAGCAAGTAATCAAGATCCACAAAGTAGTATGTATAGCATTACTGTAGATATAAAACTCACTCATGCTCTTTCAAGATCATGGCTAAATGAGCACCCAGATCTTCTTCCGCCTGCAGCTCAGCGCACATACGCTTGTGCTGAGCACGGAGCCGAAACAGTGCCACGCTGCACAGAATAATGCAGAATTAGAGACATTCAGCAATTTATCTTCTATAGTGACCTTTGTTCTCAAAATTACCTGTGGGATTCACTTTTTTTTTTTTTTTACCTGTTCTCAGATTGTCTCTCTCTTTCCATGTCCACCTCAATCTTGCCTCTCAATTCCTCCAGGTTAGTCACATGAAGTTGAAATGCTTTTAGTTCATCCCTGGAAGAGGATACATTTTGTACAAACTCAGTTTTCCAGATACATTTTGTTATGTTTTTTTTTTAATGACGTGTTATTCAGCAGCTAAAAACAAATACTATCTCCATTTAACAAGTCATTAAAAATTGTATTTGGAAACAAGAAATTTCCCATTAGAGAATCGTGAGATAAATTATTACGCTATCAAGATCCCTTCTAGGCATATCTCTGAAGGGACATCCTCATTCAAGCAAATCAACAGACTCTCATGAGGGCAACATTATATGGCATCATACTACTTGATCAAAAAAATGTATGTAGTATAAGTATAGTATAGTATAGTATAGTATAGTATAGTATAGTATAGTATCATGATTAAGTTTTAGACTTTAAAGGTTAGACTGGTTCATTTAAGACTTGGTTTGTTTTTGTACAACCCAACTCACACAAACTCTTGCGATTTAACTATCTCGTATGGTGTCTCAAGACTTCTCATGAAACTGGGCTTAAAGAATCCACACACTGCAGAAATCTTAATAAGCCTTTTTCTCTCTCTCTTGTTTTTCTCAAGCTCAGTCCACCTACTTAACAGCTTTTCTATGGCATGTGCTCACCATGCTGTACTTTTGAAAATACGGTATGGGAGGCAGAGTCAAAAAAAAAACATCCTGTTACAGGAAGGGCCACATTATAACATCACATGTGAATGCAGACCTGGCCTGTAGCACATCCTGTTTCTTCTGTTGGTAAAAGATGTCCAGTTGATCCAGAATTTTTTGTAGCTTGAACATGCGTATCTTGTCAGTGTTTTGCTTTTCCCCACCTTTGTCACTTCCATCTTCACAATCACTCACTTCCCTTAAGGTAGACAAGAGCCAGTAATACAGATTTGCACCATTGTTCAAAAGTTCAAAACAAATCCATTAAGGTTACATTAAATAGATCAGAATTAATAGTATTGTAAATGTTTATATAAATGAAGAGTTCTGATGCAAAAGCCTCTAAGTGCTGTTTGAAATTTTCTTCTAAAATTAGTATTTTTATCAGGCTCCTATTTTTATGTTCAGTTATTTCACTTACATGGCAATGAAAATAACCTATTCACTGACATTAAAGTGAAATTACTGAACCTACACATAGGAGCCTGATAAAAACGCTCATTTTAGAAGAAAATTGCAATACTTCCTATATTCTAATTTGGTGCCCAAGTAACTTTTCTTTTCATTATCAGTTGAAAAGGGTTGTGCTGCTTCATATTTTAGAATATAGGAAGGATTTCTGAAGGATCATGTGACACTGAAGGCTGGAAAAAGGCTGCTGAAGGTTCTGCTTTGCCATCACAGGAATAAATTACATTTTAAAATATAGTCAAATAAATAACATGGTAATAATATTTCACAGTATTACTGTTCTACTTTATTTTGGATGAAATATATGTAGCCTTGAGCAAGACTTTTTTTTTTAATATTATTGCTCTTTTGTTAGTTTTGATTGCTTCTATTGTCCTCATTTGTAAGTTATTTGGGATATAAGCATTTGCTAAATGACTAAATGTAAATGTACATTGTACATGTACAATGGTATTTGACATGACCTGACCCAAACAGGGTGTCATGCACTGTTGTTTGCTCCATAACACCAGCTTCATTTCAAGATGCTGCAGCACAAAAGCAAACATAGCTGTATCTACACATTGAGTGATGCAAAGTGATAGAACTATATTAATGCTTCGCCTTCCCTCAAGATAAACCCAAACATGCATTTAGTCCAATATTTACTCAGCACTAGTTACTTTTTATTATTATTATAAACCCAGCTGAATACAAATATGCTGGTTTGAAAAAATCTAAATGAGTTTTATTATTAATTTATCCATTCATATATTCCTGTCTCCTCATTCATGAACAAAACAATCTCACTCACTAGTCTAAGCTTCAGTCAAAATATTCCATAAAAAAGCATGCATTTTAACACCTACCAGCTGTCAAATACTGTGGACCAATCAGGGAAGTCATCCTCAAACCTGAAGATGTCATCCCACGTGCCAATCTCTAAATTAAACATAACATAATAAAAAAAATTATAAAATACATGTAATATTTCATAACTGAGTCATGATACTAAAGTAATACTACTAACAACAGCTTGTAGTGGTCTTTAAAAATAGCCTTACCGTCTGTGTGCTCCTGTGCGCCAATTTTGTGTGGCTCTTGCTCAGATGCAGGTGTTGAGAGATCTGCAATGTTCGACATATTCTCGTCTCCAAGTCAACAACTGCGGGAATTACAGAATAATCAATACTCGATAATGATCAATCGCTGGATACAGATAAATAATATTAATTTATGCTACATCAAGAGGATTAGCCACATATTTGATACTACAACTTCAACGTGAAGCCGTGTTTCTTTGTAAGCTATTATTATTTGTCTGTCTACTTATTTCTGACTTGAAATAAATTATGGTCAAAAGGAAGCGTATACGCGCATGATATCCATAACCTAAATATATATATATATTCCTATGGCAGAACTTTCTTACATTATTAGTTTTTCTTGTCAACTTTCTAGCGTCTGAAGTCGCTGCGTGTCCTTTTGTTGTTGTGTTTCTATGGCAACAGATCCGCACTGTACCTTGGGAAATGTAGTGGCTGGCTGCAAGTAAACACACAGCGCGCCTTGTGTTGTGCTGTCCGATTCAAAAATAAAAGTCAAGAACTTGTTGGCTATGGTAGATTACCGCTTGCCTTACATGTTCATTCATTTTTGTTTTGGATATTTAAATAGCCAGATCGCGAACACGATTAAATAATCCACGCTGTTTTATTTCTTCCATCTCCATCTCCCCCCCCCCCCCCCCCCCCTTTACCTGCCCATGTTACGTTATTTCTTAGTGTATTTTTTTTATTATTTTTATTCCTATTAATATTTTTTTCATTTAATCCAACATTCTCTTTTTTCTTTAACTACATTTGGAAATTAATGATTGAATTCATACAATGAAACAAGCTTAAAGTGGTTAAGGGAACTTGACATTATTTTTGCTATACGAGTTTCAAGGCATGCGCACTAGCTTTGACATCTAATGACAAAACCTGACGTTAAGTACATGTAGGCTTAACAAGGGCACTGTTATATATATATATATATTTTAGTTGGAAGTAGATGCCATTTTAAGGAAACAATGTAATTTTGTGGAAAAACAAATTATTCAAAGCTCTGGTTTTATATAAAAACTGGAAGGAGTCTTTAATACACATATTTTAGAACTTGTAATTCTGTATAAGTAAGTGTAAGTATATTTATATATTTTTTTAATTTAGCGAACAAGACTAGTACTGGCTAGGTGTCGGCATGATTGTGACCCAGTGTCGGCTCAGTTTCAGTACCCAGACTCGGGCGTGTCGGACCAGTGCTGGCTAAGTGTACCATTTTGGTTGGAGTGATTGTGGCCCAATGCCGGTGGTGTCGATTTAGTTTAAGTACCCAGACTCAGGCCAGTACCGGCTAAGTGTTACAGTTTTTGTTGGCGTGATTGTGGCCCAATGCCGGCAGTTTTGGCAGCTGGACTCGGGTCAGTGTATTTGGGCCGATTCTGGGTTGTCATTCATGCCATGTCCATGCCGAGTCTGGTAACCGCAGCTGGGCCGAGTTATTTAATCCAGCCTGCCGGATCTGGGCCATTATTGGGCCAAACTGTTTTGGCTACCTGGGAATGAACGGAACAAACAGTTACATTTTATAAAATTGTATAAAATTATAAAAATCAGCATAACTAGTTACTGAGCATATAGCTTCCTGATTCTTTACAGGTCAAGCCTGACAACAGGTTTACTGACCCTTCCAGACCTAGTAAGTATCAGTACAGGTTTAGGATTAAGAAATGTTTCCCTGCATGTTTGGGTTGGTACAGTCTCTGTTGTATCAGTATGTGTTGGCTGAATGTCAACAGTCCCTTTTGTTTGTGGTGAATCTGTGTGTACAGTCTGTTTGGTTGTCTGTGTTGGTGTTGGCACTGCTTGAAGATGACGTCGGTCACGTCTCAGTACTGCTCCTTGTCCCGTCTCGATGACAAAGGAACGAGGTGTTGCACTTTCTTGCCTGATTACTGCCGGTGAAGCCCAGACCTTCTTATGGTCCAGCTTGGTAAGAACAGTGTCACCTGGTCTCAGTGTTGACAGATTTTTAGCTCAATTACAACGATTGTAGTAGAAAGCTTGTCTGTCTTTCTCTATTTTGTCTTTCAGCTTGACAGACTTCCTGTTTGGCCACCTAAGTTGAAGATTCTTTATCTAGAGTTGAAAGTGTTGTTCTGATTTTCCTTCCCATAAGAAGCTCTGCCGCACTAACTCCTGTAGTGGCACAGGGGGTCGATCAGTAGCACATGAGAGCTACCAGAGGATCTGTCTGCTTCAGGATTCTTTTTGCAATCTGCACAGCCCTTTCAATGTGACCATTACCCTGAGGATGGTGAGGACTTGATGCAATGTGTACGAAATCCAGTCGCTTGGCTAGTTCCTGAAACTCAGCACTGGAGAACTGAGGACCGTAGTCACTCACTACCTCATTCGGAATCCCGAATCTGGCAAAGACAGCCTTCAACTTTTGTGTGATATGAGATGTCGTTGTGGAAGGTAAGTGCAGTATCTCCAGAAATCTGGAATAGTAATCAGACACGATTAGACAATTCTGTCCATGATGTTCACAAAGATCAGCCGCAATCCTTTTCCAGGGTCTATCTGGGAGTGGTCTGGAGATCAGGGGCTCTTTCTGCTGTGTATTTCTGAACTCACGGCATATCTGACATGACAGCACTGTGTTCTTTATGTCCGCTGAAATTCCTGGCCACCACAGACTCCTGTGCTCTCTCTCTAGACTTTGTAAGGCCCTGGTGACCTTCGTGAATCTTTTCCAGAATGTCCTTTCTCATCGCCCTTGGCACAACGATTCTCCTTCCCTTGATCACTAAACCCTCATGCTCAGAGAGCTCCGCTTTTGCAACCGTGTACTCTCTGGCTGCTACCGGAACTTGGCTCCTGTGTTGTGGCCATCCAGCTCTGATCAGCTTGATTACGGCTTGCAACGCACCATCCTTTGTAGTAGCATTTCTGATACAGTCGATTTTATGGGACGTCGCAGGTATACCTTGTGTTACTGCATCCACATAGCACTCCACATCAGCATGCGTTTCTGTTTCTTTAGTAATAGCAGTTTGCGGGCTCCTGGACAGTGTATCTGCAATGACAAGAGTCTTGCCTGGCATATACAGTACTCTGCTATGGGCTTAAACTGCATTAAACGCATCAAAAGTCTCTGGCACCGTACTGGAACGTTGTCAAGACTCCTGTTGTTGATGAGAGGAACCAGTGGCTTATGATCTGTCACTAGCTTAAACTCAGTTTAAGCTAGTGGGACATTTTGAGACATTTTTCAAACCTCTCACATGCCCACACGCCGGCCAGACATTCCTTATCGATCTGTGCATATCAGGTTTCTGCATCAGTGAGACATCTGGAGCAGCATGCTACCGACTTCCATCCTTCTTTGTGTAGCTGCAAGAGCACCCCGTAGCTGCTCACATCAGCCAAGACGGCAGTGGTCTTAGTGATATCATAATATGCAAGAACTGGTGCCTTCATGAGCAGCTCTTTGATGTTTTCAAATGTTGTCTGCTGCGTGTGTGTCTACATCCACAAACTTTTCTGTCTGAGTAGTTCGTACAGCAGCTGGCTGACTGTTGAGAGGTTGGGAATTAAACCTCCCCAAGTAATTCACCATGCCAAGCACCCTTTTTAGTTCCTGCACATTTTTGGGTGGTGGCAGCTGTCTGATGGCATCCACCTTTTCTGGATCTGGCCACACCCCTGTCTCGTTAATAAGGTGATCCAGGAACCGAAGTTGGCTTTGTCTGTACGTAAATTTCTCAGGATTCAATTTTAACCCTGTAGACTCTGCAGCACTTGTTCCAAACGAGAGTCGTGTTGTTCCAGGGAGGACCCGTAGACCAGTATGTCGTACATGAAGACCTCTACCCCCTCCAGCCCTTGAAGTGTCTCCTGCATTTTCCTCTGGAAGATCTCTGGAGCGCTTGAGATCCCGAAGGGAAGCCTCCTGAAACAATATCTCCCAAATGGCGTGATAAAGGTGGTAAGTCTGCAGCTATCTGGATGGAGAGGGATCTGCCAGAATCCGCTGGCTGCGTGTTTACTCTGAGTTTACTCTTAGAGTTTACTCTAAGGAGAAAACTTATGCACCGCTCAGTTTAGCAAAAATCTCATCTGCTGTAGGTAGCACGAAATGTTCTCGTTTTACTGCTTCATTTAGTCTTTTGAGATCCACGCAAATGCGTGCTTTGCCGTTTTTCTTCAGAACGAGAACCATTGGCGCACACCATTCCATTGGTTGTGTCACCCGCTCTATGATGCCATTTTCCTCTATCCTCTGCAACTCCTCTTTCACCTTTTGCAGCATTGGTATTGGAACACGCCCCGCAGTGTGTACTGCACATGGCAGCGCTGAGTCTTTCAACTGAATTTTGACAGGGTCGGTTTTGAGTGTGCCGTGCTCACCAAACGCCTCATAGTGTTGGGAGGCCATTCTGTTCACCTCCTCCACTCTCCTTACAAGGTTCATGTCAGCCGATAGAGTCCGACTCAGCAGGTTATTGACATTGTATCCACGGACCACATAGGCAGAAAATGGGCATGACTGTCCTTTGTACACTGCAGTGGCTCGGAACTGACCCAGGCAGGCTATCTTTCCCCCAGGGCTGTCCAGTGTAACATTGGCTGGCTCTAGTGCCTTTGCTGGGACTAGTTTGCTGAAAGTCTCTTCTGCCACAACGTTTACATCAGCCCCCATATCTATTTAGAATTTTACAGGGGTCGTCCCAATCAGGAGCTGCACCATCCACTGCTCTTCTAGTTCATTTACATTGTAAACTGAACCCAGAAAGTATGAAGGTTGGTCAAAACATTCTGTGACTTCTCTCACTGACCTGTTATTGTGGCATACTCTGGCCCAGTGTCCGATTTTGTGGCATTTGTAGTCTCTTCTGCTCACCAAGCCTGCATTTATTTGATCCAAAGTACAGCAAAAACTGTAAAATTTTGAAATATTTTTACTATTTAAAATAACTGTTTTTTTATATTTTAAAATGTAATTTATTCCTGTGATTTCAAAGCTTAAATTTTAGAATCGTTACTCCAGTCACACGATCCTTCAGGAGTCACTGTAATATTCTGATTTGCTGCTCAAAAAACATGTATTATTATTATGCTGAAAACAGCCGAGTAGAATTTTTTCAGGTTTCTTTGATGAATAATATTGAGCCTATATGAACCTATTAAGTTCCGTATCAGTTACAAAATATTATTACTTACCTATAAGGCCCTCAATGGTTTAGCTCCTGCATAAAATCATTCATTTCTATAATCTCTTTCCCAAAAATAATAATAAAAAAAATTATACTGACTCCAAGCATTTGAATGGTATAGTGTGTTACAAAAGCTTTTTATAATATTTTTTAATATATAACTTTGGATCTTTCTATTCATCAAAGAATCCTGAAATGTACTCAACTGTTTTAAATATTGATG